ATGACTACATTATGATACAATAAATGAGATAAATATGGGAGAGATATGATTTAAAAATGAGCCATATATGGCACATAAATGAGTCATTCATGGCTCATTTTTTATCTCATTTTTCACGGCCTGGGTTGTTAAACAGAAGCAAGGCGTACACAACACACATCTACTTTTTAAGGAATGAGCTTTCAAACGTCTCTGTGCGAAGTAAAGCTCTAGTTTTGTGTCTGAATGCAGATAAAAAGAATTAACTGTTCGCGTTCAAAGTTGTTGCTGCTTGGTAAAAAATACACGTTTCAAATCTCGTGTTACGCAAGACAATAGTTTTTACTGCATTTGTAGCGATAGAAAAGACTGTAAATGAGTGAATGTGAAATCTCTAGATGTCAGTTGTTGTTACAATCATTTCTCGATTTCTATTGGCCATAATATTGTCTTTAGATAATTCGTAAAAGAATGGAATTGTCATATTTTTTCTTTGTTGCTGCAACAAGTCTTCATCCACCGATGCGAAGACTTATTTTTCTAATAAGTTCTAGTGTGGAAAAACTGTAGTTTATGCAGATTTAGTGGCCATACCTAAACATGTAACATAAGTGGTTCTGCACTACATGTGTTCTGAATAAATTCGTTGCATTATTATAAGTATTTTTTTCTCTTCGGTTTAATAAATCTTTATTTTTTAGACTATCGTAAAAATATAATTATGTCTGAGTCTCTTTTATTAATCTTATTCAGTTTAGCCATGTTTCTTGGATCTTATTTATCAGGTTTGGTTCCGTTAGCATTTAGTCTTTCAGAAGTAAGATATAGCTGACTACTGCTTTTTTAGCCCCTCTCATTTTCATTTCATATTTGAAAAATAATCTATTTTTCTTTGCATTTATTTAGTCAAAAATGCGATATGTTACAGTGCTTGGAGCTGGACTTTTAGTTGGTACTGCCTTGGCAGTAATTATGCCTGAAGGTGTTCATGCACTTTATATTAATGAATTAGGTGAGCAAATGATTTTCAAAAACTCACTAATTGAAATTATTGTTTATACTTTAGAATTATTTGTTGTATACTTTAGAAACGAATCATTTGCATTCACATCATCTAAAGGAGCAACATTCACACGAAGCTGGTGTTGACCACATCGACAATCCTCAACATGCATTAAATGAGAAAAAAGACCAACAACTTTCGTCATCAAAAGAGCTGCAACAATCAAAAGAATTACTAGCCAATCAACATAAAGCTGATAATGAAGGAGATTTGGAAGCTCCAGCATTAAAACATAATGACACAACACATTCTGCTATTGGTTAGTCGCTTACATTTAAAAGTATTATTGGTGGTTAGTTTATCGAATATATTATTTCTTTCCAACTCATACGTTCTTGTAAATTATATTAAAAACATGTTTCTGCTTCATTGAAGGCATTACATTAGTATTGGGGTTTGTGTTTATGCTTATTGTTGACAATTTCAGTTCAAGATTATTTCGGAATCATTCATCTCAAAGTAAGTGTTAGACATGTTGTTTTTCAATCTTTTTCTTGATGAAAAATAAATCTATAATTTCTCAATAACTATGGATTTCTAGTTTTGGATTCCTCTGGTTCAACAATATCCACAAAATCAAAAGCAACATGGACAGCAACGTTAGGGCTTGTTGTGCATGCAGCCGCCGATGGCATTGCACTAGGCGAGTAGAATTGATTGAGATGTTTTCTTATAACTGTTTTTTTTCACATTTTAGGAGCAGCTTCTTCCACAAGTCATTTTAATGTAGAAATAATTGTTTTTATGGCAATTATGCTGCATAAAGTACGTCCATACTTACTTAGTTGATAAGATTTAGAATTAAAATACGTTAAAACAGTCTTCATCTCTAAATATATTCTTTTTCTTTTAGGCTCCAGCTGCATTTGGATTAGTATCATTTCTAATGGCTGATGGGGTTGATAGAAAAAGAATAAGGAGGCATCTATTAATATTTTCATTAGCAGCTCCACTGATGGCCCTTTTTACCTATGTTGTATTAAAAAGCGTAAGTATTTTTATATGAAATGCGCTACTTTATCATTAGTTTAAAGATTTTTCTGGTCAGTGGCAGTGATTGATAGTATACTACGTACACTGACATTGTCACAATGAAAGCTTTTGTGGGATTAATGTTCTGTTCGACTAGAAGATGAAAGTATGCATGTACTAACTATTATTCTTTATTGGTTTTTTAGCATATTCATGAAACATATTCTGGTGATGCGACCGGTTTAGCAATGTTGTTTAGCGCTGGAACATTTTTATTTGTTGCCACTGTACATGTACTACCCGAAGTTCAGGCTCATTACGAGGACAGGCAATTTCGTGCTGTTGAACTAATCATATTAATTATTGGTTGCTGTTTTCCGATTGTCTTATCTATGGGACATAAACATTGATACACGTATATCTATACACATTCATTTATTCAATCATTCCTCTTGTTGTTTAATTTTATTTCATTTAGTTTTATTTTGGTATCTTAAATGTATTCTTTATTTTTTTTACTCAAAAATCTTCTTAAACAAATTCTCTGACTACTATGTTTTTATTGCGTTTTTGTTGTGCTTTGTTTTATATAAGATCGGTATTTTTGTTGTCTGTTTATTTTTGAATTTTACAAATCTACAAAAAAACATAATAAAGTAGTTTTTATTAGTTTCATATATTTTGTTAGCAATTAATACAAAAAATATAGGGCACAAATTTGAATCCGTAATCGTATTGAATGCTCTATTTTTTTCGTTTTAGATGGCCGATATTTATGTTGTAGAACGTATTTTGGATAAACGGATTATTGATGATCAAATTCATTATTATTTAAAATGGTTCGGATTTGGAGACGATGGTAAGGTGTATTGTTTTGCTTTCAAAAACATCTCTTATTAGATTATTTTACTGGTATATGTTAAGAATGTACCTGGGAGCCAGAAGAAAATGTTTTTTGTACCGATTTGGTTAAGGACTTTGAAAGAAAACAGCAAGAAAAACAACACGAGAAAGAACTTTTACAAGAGAGAAAAAATGGCGAAAATGTGGTAATAATAGAAATCCACTCTCAATGAATTAAAGTCTTAAAAATCGGTTTTTTTTACATCTTTTTAGTTTGACGAATGTGCCCAAACAATAACAAGTATTCTTAATGAAACCGAATCGGCAACATCAGGTAAACTTTTAAAGATTCATCTGATCATTGAACTGTTAAACACTGTTTCCTTTTTTAGCAAAGATATTGAATCATATAATAGAAGAGAAAGTTGAAAAATCTCTTCTCAGCATTCGTGAAGATGAACAATTATCTTCAAAAACAACCAATAATCAATCGAATGATACGACAGCCACAAGTATATCCGATTTTGAAAGTTTATTATTAGCAATAAAAATCGATGAAAATCGTTCACAACAACAGTTGATGCCCGCCACTATCATTAATAACGTAGACGAGGAAAACAATCGTACATCATCCGATGATACATATTATTCCTTCGACGGAGGGAAAAACATAGAAATTGAGGAAGATAATGCTGACAATGATGTCAAACAAATTTCCAACATCAGCGATGATGATCTTGGAATGTCATCAGATAGTCAAAAGACAATCGAATATCAAGTTAATCAACGATCTGACGATGAAAATCTCATGAAAGAAAATGACACTGATGAAGAGAATAGAGAATCAAGTGTGAGTAACAACTATTCTAAAGAACAAAATGCACAAATAAAACCTAAGATAAATAATTTGAATGGGACGCCATCAGCAGACATCATAGACGAAACCAATCAAGTATTATCAATGAATGATGATGAGATTGTTTCGGATGATCATCAACTTCTGGAAGGTATAGAATATAAAATGCAGCGAAATGAAAATAAAAAGAGGAATTAGATGACTAATCTTTTCATTTAGATATAGACTTGCGCTCGTCAAATCAACATCATTTGGAGGCGAGATATACGGATGTTAAATTAAGTCAAGAAAAAATTAAATTGTGTATTGTTTTCTAATTCTAGTCTCTTTCATTTTTGGAAAAACGATGCACACGTAAACATCATTTAGCAAACGATGAAAATTGGCGACAACTGAAACGACGTCGATTACAGGATGAAATCCAGGCGTCCCCTTCATCCAAATCCAGTAGTAATAGTCTTGTGGATGAAAATGGAAATCATTTAGTTAAAGATAATAAATTAGATGCAGGTCATTCATATGGAAAAAAACTAGAAATGTCCGAAAAACAAAAATTATCAGAGACGACGGGTGCAGCACAATCAACATCGAAACCTGCTACATTTGATTTTCTAGGTTTAGAACCGGAAGAAATTGTCTGGTGAGTGTTAAATATACATTTTCAATTCTACATACTGATTCAGGTGCTAAACTCATCTCATCGAACGAATGCAGCTGAATATATAAAGTACTGTTATATTTATTTTATTTTCGTGTTTTTTTAGCATTACTCGTTCAAAATCCACCGAATTACAATTTTTATTAAAATGTGCAAAATGTCCTAATAAACTGTTTTACATTACAAACAGACAAGCAACAGAAATAATACCACAACTGGTAATTCAGTTTTATGAACGACATATCGATTGGTTTAACATTAAGAAAAAATCAACAACCAACACGACAACAAAACGTTCAGCCACTGTACCAACATCATCTCATAATAAATATAAGGATAAATATTATCAACAAGCACAAAAAGTAAATACACGTTTACAAACGAGAAAATCTGCTGGAATTGAAAGATCATTATCAATTTCCTACGATAATGAAAGACAAATGCAACAAGAAAAAACGTCTGCAGAGTCCCCTTCACCATCTGAAGAACAAAAAACACAAAAAGAACAACAACAATTAAAGGTAACATCAACAAGAAGAAGTACAACGAATGATAAAATAAATACATTGAAAAAACGTCAAACAAAGTCGAATCGTTCAACAACAACAACTTAAACTTTTTTTCCTCTTTTTTTTACGTATATATGTGTGTATGTATATGTGTGTGCGTGATTCCTGTAATATGTTCATTTTTTTCTATAGCCGTCACTCTCAAATCGTCTTTTATTTCGGTACCTTGTAGCATTTTTATGCAAACGTCTTGCAAATACAAATTTTCTCAACATGCAAAATTCGAATTTTAATTATTTTCCAAATGGGAAATAGTTTTGTGATTTGATCTTTTTTTTTCATTTTTTTTCTCATTTTTTCGTCTCTCATTCATTTTAAATGAATGTTTTTTTCTTACAACACAAGATGGTAGAAAGACATGACTTTGATAGTTTGTTTTAAACGCTCGTTTGTTGAGGTAAACATCGTTGAACGAAATCGATGGTGTGCAGTGATTTTTTTTATCGAATTAATGCAAATTAGACGAACATTCTGTATGTTGTATTTTTTTGCTTCAATTATTTTGTAAATATGAATGTGTCTGTGACAGAATGAAACGTTTTACTTGTAGGATGTAGTTCTTCACGTTTGTTATTTTTCATGTAAAATATTAAATTGGTACTTGATGATGCTTTTTGTTCATGTGTCTGCTGCTGATAGCCGATGTATATTGCGATAAGAGAATACTACTGTCTGTCTTTAAATCTTTTATTATGCGATTTTAGATAAAGAAACTGTTTCGATCTGTTGTTTTTCTAACATATTTGTCATAGTTGTATGAGTCGTTTGTGAAGATTCGAACATACTTAAAAAGTTAAATAATTGCTTGATATTTGAAATGTATGTTAATAAAATTGCGACTGATATGTAGAACACTGTGTGTTCCATGATCTGTGTGCTGCCAAACAAATTACTCACTCTTTTCACGTTACACAGGAATTTATGATTGAAACTGAACGTTCAATAAGAGTACCAGATGGTGCTGCTATGATATTAAACTTGTCTACACGTGGTTTTGATCTGTTGCAGGAAGAGGAAGTATATTGATTAATCCATTTCCATACGATATCGTATGGTTTAAACATGTATTTTGAATCATGCTGAACAATAATCTTTCACTTGTCTGCTCATCTAAACGAACATTTTCACGTTAGATATGCATCAATGCTGCACCCAAAACTCGTTGAGAACTATTCAACAATATTTCAGTTATATAGAGAAGCATGGATGTTAGTGCCACTAATCCTGAGCAGGGAGGGGGAGGGGCCAGTCCTCTGAAATTTCTGACTTTTCGTAAATTTTTTTATCTAGACGTGCAAATACAAGTACGGTTTCTTATATTATTTGGAAGTCCGTTTTTCTTCCCTAAGTATTACACGTCTGACTGGTTTATTTTATCGTCTCGAGTTGAGAAACAGAAATAAGAGTTTAAATTTAAAAACTTGAGCGGCTGTAACCATCTTAATTCATTTTAACATGTTAAGACTGCAATTAAAAATGGATTGAAAATGAAAGTTAAAAATTACAAAAGTTCGACCCATTTATGCAGTCGTTACCAAATAAAACTGCCGCCGTAAACTCTGAAAAAGTGAGTGATACAAAAAACTCTGAAGGCCGTGAGTGATACAGAACGGTGAATTTAGTTTTGTAGTTTACTACAAAGCAAAGTTCACATGTTCGAATCTCTATTCGTATAAAAATTGATTTTGTGTTTTTCGATAGTTTTAGTTTAGAATGCTTTTTTTTTTATATAAGCTTTATTCTGACAGAATAAAGCTTATATAAAAAAAAAAAAACTGCCGCGTATAGGACATTACATTAAAGCGACGACAGAAACGTAGTTGTATATAGCAAGACAGAGAAATATCATGTTATATTTGGATGAACAGAAAAATGATAGAAAAAATGATCATGACAAAGATTAAAAACGATTATTATTTTTATTTATACTTGATTCCCTTAATAAACGGAACAAAAAGTAAAGGAACCTTAGATTGAGCAAAAATTTAAAAGAAAATCATTTTATTTCCCCACTTTTTCCGCTTCACCGCTTCCCGTAAGATATTTTTATAAGCTTTCCACCATAATTATAGCTCTCCCTAGACCAAAATACAATCGGAGTTGACGGAAAACGTCGAATGGAAAAACATCGAAAAGGAAAACAGCGAGAAAAAAAGAGGGAAAATGTAGAAAGATTGAAAAGGCCTGCAGTTGTCCCCCTAAACTGAAAATACATTTCGTATATTTACAAAATGCATGACAAAAAAATCTTTGATAAGATCATCGGCCTACAGGGTTTTTTCTCGATTCAACTTGGTGCTAGAGCATCGGTCCCGAAACAATCAGCAAACACAACAGCTTTTCAAAGAAGATTCGATGCACTTAATGACAGATTTCTGAATAGTGAAATCAATTCCAAACAATTATTGACCAGATTATCATTGCTCATCGGAAGACAAAAAATGAGATGATATTCATTATTATTATTCATTTTCTTTTTAAATTTTTAATAAAAATTGCAATAATAAATAAATCACCAGTAATTATATGTCAAAAATCGAAACTAAGTTAAACGGATTTTCTATCAATAAACCATTACTATGGCCTCGATACATGGATGTGAATTTCGCATATTCACAATAAAACAGAATATTAACCATTTTTTTTCCTTTGTGTATTTTTTGTGTGAAGTAAACTTCATTGTATCGACGTTTTCATCGATTTGAACAGATATTCATATTCAATTCAGTCGATGACCTGCACAAACATGGTCTTTAATGGTCTCAGTGGTACTCTGGTGTTTTTTCACCATATCAAACGGTGTTGGTTTAGTGAAAAGAGACGTCCTATAGTATTAGAGAAGTCCTATATAAATTCTTTTTTCAAATCCTATATTTTTCTATATTTTCAGGAAGGGCCGGTACGAACCCAGCCATGGACTGGTCTTGAGTCGAAAAAAAATTTTGGACTCACTTGAATCGAAGAAAAATCAGTAAAAAACATGTTGTTTTTGTATTGTGGACTGGACGAAAACAACTGTTTTTCATGGATTCAGACTGGACTGGATTTTTCAATCCATGGGCTGGACTGGACTCAGAATTCTGAGCCCATACGAAGCTCTGGTAGGTACGATTTTGAGCGAATTATGAACTTTTTAATTTTCCGTGATAATAGCCAAAACTGAACGGTTTCACTTTATATAGATTATTATTAGGTTCTTAAATTTTCTTTGGAAAACAAACGCTGACACGACATTCAATGTGATTGATAATCTATGTTTCCATTCATTTCTGGATTACTTCAACTAGCACCCAGAAAATTCGATGCCCCCGAACCACGAAAACTTAAGAGGTGACTTCGTTCACATCTTGACGCGGACACCTATCCATGAAAGAAAAAGAAAATATTTGTATGATAACTTTAAAAATTTCAGACTACCAATATTTGACTGTGTATTATTCTTTACCAACTTTTATGGTAACTAATAATCTCGATTCAAGCGTATGGTGCCTACCCGATCTTTTAAAACTAGTGTTCGATAAAAGAAATTGTTGTATTCATTGTCCATCAGATTATCTCTTCGGAATTTTATATATTTTGTTTCATGTAACGAGATATAACTGAGACGTATCATTTAGTGAAGACAACTCGAAATTGTTTATAAATTTCTATAATTTCATATTCAGTGAAAGACTGATGCCAATTTCAATGTACTTTGAACACTCAACAATCAATAACGTATTCTTCTTTGCACTCTTTAGAAGGTATGTAGAATATTTTCTCTGTTTACCATGTTTACATGCTGCGTTACCATCATCAATGAGACTAATCAATTAAAACAGAACACTTACATTGGTCGGTTGAAAATTAGAAAAACATGTTTCAAAATATTTCTGTCAATTTGTTTATTATTTCTTAAAAGTCACATTTAGCCTGTAGCTATTGATTTTTTTAACGGCACATTGTATATATGCTGAGCTTTAAATTTTGATAGTATTCTATCACTGATAGATACATAATAATACTTCATTTGTTAGTCATCTGTGTGTAGATGTAGCATCCTTGACATCCAAAATTGGATATGACATAATCGTAGAATTCTTATTTTGTGGTTTTGTCACAGATGTGCTTTTTTAACTTCACTTATATATGAAAGCAAACAAAACTTTGTAAAACGGTAAAATCATATAGTTAGATGAAATTGTAGATGTATATACCTTTTTATTTTTTGTTCTTTTATTTATTCTACAGAAGTCAGAATAATTTATCTTTTAATGCCATTCTATATCTCCACTACTTAAGCCCGTTACATGGCATAAACTACAAACAAAGAACAATAGACTCGCATGAAATCATTCTCTTTTATTTCTTCTCTCGCGGCACACTGCGATTCATATAATATCATTAATAATTTAAAGTGTGTTATCTATATGCAAAAAAGACCTTGGCAGTCGTTTTCTATTTATAGGAAAAGCTTTACGACGATATTTATCATTAAAAGTAATTTATTTTAAAATTAAAAATATAACAATCTCATCGGATTATGTCGATGCCAACACCATCATCACAAACATTGTCAATGACAAAAAATGATAAATCACGAATAAGTACAAATAATAATCGGACGAACGGTAGTCATTGTAAACAATCTGTTATCAAAGAGTCATCGGTGAGAAGAAAAACGACAACACCAACAATGATGTATTATAGACAGCGTAGTACAAGTGCACCATTAAATATTTCAAGAACAAAATCCATGATAAATAATAAAAATGATAAAAGTGTGGTAAATATTCATATTAATGGTCCAGAAATCACATTATTACCGGCCGAAGAGCAAGCTGTTCGAAAAATGTATCAGAAACTTCAGCAATTACAGCCAGATGGTGTATGTGTTGAATTAAATACACTAAGAAGAGCACTGTATCCACCAACCGTCCAAAATTCTTTGATAACAAATCAAAATGAGAGAAGATTGTCAGTTGAAAGGTAACTTTTTTGTCTTAACTATAATTTGAATTTGAAAATGACTTAATTAGCTTTGCTAAATATTTAGAACTAAGTTTTTATTAAATTTTATAGAGTTCCAACAAGACCATGGGCCAGTGCTGATGATGAACTATCGAATAAATATAAAATCAATTTACAAAATGTTCAAAGTAAGTATCATAGTGTGTTGAATAAAGATAACTTTTCATATTAGTCTAGTTACTGATGATTGTTCTTTTAAGATGACTATCGTGCAGAGGCAATGAAACAAGAAGAAACTGAACGTAAAAAATTAGAAAATCTTGATTACGTATATCAACAAGTGAAAAAACATGCAGAAATAAACTATAGTTATTATACAAGAACGAACAAATAATACTCCTTCTATCATTAATCTATCTAATAAGTCACCAGATTTTGCTCTTTTGTACAGGTTAATTTTGCGAAATTCCTTCTAAGATTGCGAAGCCGAGGAATTGAAGTAATATACTCACAACCTTAGCGATTTTGCTGATTTCCCCTCTCCCTCTAGTAATGATCTTAAACTGCTGTAGCAACGATCTTAATAATCCGTAGTAATGATCTTACGAGAAGAGGATAATGATCTTATAGGACCAAAGGAATAATCTTGTCAACTTATAGTAATGATCTTAACGATCTACAGTAATGATCTTATAGAATCCTAGCAATGATCTTACAAGACCATAATAATAACCTTAAAAGCTCTCAGTGTAATGCTCTTACAGAGTTACCGTAATGATTTTTCGAGAGTAAGGTAATGATCTTATGGAAATGCGTTAATGATATTTATTTTTTTTATTTCGGAAACCCAAAAATGAATGAACTTTACATTCATTATACAAAGTTATTTTCGACAGAAATAATACAACTAAATCGAAGTTTTTATACTATTTTGTAACTATTCTATATGTATGAATTTTTGTTGAATAGAATTATTGATTTTGAATAAACATTGGACTGGATTTAAGAAAGCTTTATTCTGACAGGTCAGCTTTCACTGTATGTTCTTCTCTATAATAAGTAATGAAGTCGCAAATTCACATTATTGAAGTAAAACAGCAAAAATTTCCGATAGAACGAAGATGGCTGGTCGTGCAAAATCAGATATGGTTGAGAAAATTATTTAAAACGAAGCTTTCAATCCTCCTGAATAGGATGACAATCATCAAGAACTGCATTCCAATGTTTTTCCTGCGATTACTATAATGAATAGTATGATCATGGGCGACCCCAGAAAATTTCTTTTTAGATGAGGCACTGAACTTTTTAGAGTGATACATACAGCAACGTACGTAATTTTTCAAATCAAGGATTGTTTTTATTTTGAATTTTATGTAAAATACAATGCTGCGAAACAATTCTTCACAGGATAAAATTTTTTTTCAGAGAAACAATTGTCCCGCTGGGCACCCGTGAATGATTATGATTAGTATCACAATAATCATTGTTTGTTTTTCATTCACGTGACTCGAAACTCATGTGTAAAGTGCACATAGATAATTATGCGCTCGAAAACAAGTTCAAGGTAATTAATTTCAAGAGTTCGTTTCAGTTTAGACTTTACGGATAAATTTGCAATATTATAGATGCTTTATAATTTTTAAAAAAGCGATAAAAAAAACTGTTTCAAGCTACTCATGAGTAATTCAAAAATAGCTAGAATAGAAGAATGTGCATGAACTTTTTCCACTTATATATACCTCTGAATCTGCATGGACTTCATTACGAAGGAAGTACTACGATTCCTCTACGTGTTCTTATATCATTAATATTAACTTTTTTATTCTGTGTCAACATTTTTTCAACATAATTACTAATTTAAAACATCATGTCTGATACAAAAAGGTGCGTTATTTAACTTTTTTTCTAGAAACTTGAGTGAAGCAGTATAAAAGAGACAAAGATGTATGCGTATTTTTTCGATCATACGCTTAACATTGAATAAGGCTAGATAGGTTTCTATCATAAACGACCGGTAAACATAAATTTTCAGTATATACATACGACTGCGTCACTAAACAGAATAAAAAACTAGCGGATAAACGATTACTATATTTAAGTGTTTTTGTCGATTTCGCTTGGCATTAAGGTCTTATTTTTAAAGTAAAGAAACGATCCTCTTTTCTACTCTAATCAACTTCAGTGTTTGACAAATATTTATTTTTAACTAGTACCTTTGTTGCTCTGCATCAAGAAGAAATTTCAGATAAATGTTGAGCAGGGAGGTGTAACTCCCCCCCTCCATAATAGAAGTCCCTCCGTATTAGAAGCCCCCTCTGGAGGAATCGATGTGGAAGGCCCTTGGGCTTCTAATACGTCCGAAAAATAATTTGAATTTTTTAAACGGCACATTCGATCAATGCTGAACAGGCCTGGACGAAACGGTTCATTAATCTCATTCAGGAACAAACGATCGAGGATAGGAACGAACACCGAAATTAGTAGAAGCCAGTCAGTGTGGAGATGGGACGAAAGACTATCGACATATTTATAAGAAATGAACATGTTCTTAGCAGAACATATCCTTTTATTTTCTCACTTCGTTCGACTTTTGGAGTATCAGAAAGACTTGTTTTTATGATAATTAATGAAGAAAAGAACATATTGTAGAGCAGTCTGTTTCTTTTTTCCAGTTAAAGAACATGTCGCAATCCGTTTATATTTTCGTAATACGTATGGAAATTGAACTATGTGTTTCTTTCATTTACAAAGGAAAGTGTGATGTTGTGTGTAAAAAAACAGAAAACGAATAAAATTTACATTTTTTTATCTCGAAAAAGATTTTTTTC